TAGGGGCGAAGATAAAAAAACTTCCGACATATAAAAAATAATTTTAAAAAAAAAATGTCCGGGACGCACAAAATGTCTCAGATCATTTCTGAATTTAGAAGGACGTGTTCGCATGACAATTAATATGACAGACAATATAACAGACGTGGACAACGGACATGAGACGCGGACATCATCCGTGTACAACACTGCCTCTCACTACATTCGAATTATGGAACACCGGATTCAGTTTCAAGTCCTCTAACTTATCTTCCAATTCAACTACCTTAGTTTTGAGAGAAAGAATCTTGACCTTGTCAGCAGATGAAGCTTTTTAGACCAAAGTTGCTTCTCTTTTCAGAGTTTTAATATTTGATTTAAGCGATTTTATTTCAGCAGTATATTTGGCTTTAAGTTCACGTTGACTCTTAGAATGAGATTTTCATTCAGAAATAAGTTAGGATCTAACTTTAACGCTAGACACATTTAACTGGCTAATCTTATTTTCAATATCCTCCTCTCGCTCTGAATACTCCAAATTTTTAGCCTGTAAATTTTCATTAAAGTTGATAATTTCAGAGTTAAAATTGATAGCAATTCTTAATTTTTTTTCGAGCTCTTGCTCATATGTACTACCCAGTTGATATCCTTTATCTTTTATATCCTTCAATGTATGCACATTGGATATAATCTTAGCATGGTTATATAGCAGGAAAAAAAATGTGCGTAATTAAATTTCATCTATAGGGCATCTTTTATTTTTTTTTGTCAAAATAAAAAATCAAATATCCTTTATTAAAAAACATCAGTTTTCATCATTTTTTATCGGTTTTCATTGTTTTTTATTGTTCAAAAACCATAAATATTGTTTTTTATCATTCAAAAAAGATAAATATTATTTTTTATCATTCTAAAATATTAGAAAATACTGGAGGAATTATGCTTAGCCGATTTTTAAAACTTATTATCAACGAGGTGCTAGTGTTTTAACGCCTGAGCAGATCAAGAAAATTAGATGCCTTAAAAATAAAGTTCCTGCGTATATGATAGTAAGGAACTACCATATCAATAAAGATTATATCTCTGATATATGGGACGATTGTGAACGTCTGCAACAGAGTAAGGAAAATGTATTAGCAGATATGTTACTGGAGCCATCTAACCATGACGATACAGTTCACTTTAAGAACGATTCTTTAGGTCTTCCAAATATTTTCTCAGAGAATCACAGTGAATGTGACATTGTTTCCGATAGCAAGAAAAAAAAGTCTGGAGGAAAGAAGTCGAAGTCTAAGTTCACGTTAGCTTTGCCAATACCATCTATTGAGACTCAGCCAATCTCAGCTTCAAAGAAGGATACAAACAATATGGATGCATTGTATGAGAAGATGGTTAAAAAAAACACAAAAATTGTAGATGAAAAAAGAAGCGTTATCCTGAAAATAACTCGCCTATTCCCTAAGAAGACTTTCGCAAACTCATTGATTTCTGAATTATACTTAAGAGTGCTATATAGCATTTTTCAAGCTCCTCATAACTCACTTTTTTTTTAAATGGGTCGTCCTCACTTAAGTCCTGCGAATCCTGAGAAACTTTGTCTAGATCTGCCAGATTATCACATTTGGAAGTAACGTTCGCGCAATTCACCTCGAACTTGTTCTTAACCTTATGCATATTAATTGGGATAAAAAATTCCTTACCATTACACTCTAGTCTCAATTCCCACTTTAATGCAAGTAAATCATAATTATATTTATCAAGAAGTGTGTTGGGTAAGATCAGCATTGGCTTAGGATACTTAACTACAGCAAAATCAGCATATATAATACATCTGGAAGTAAAATTTACTGGAACATTTCTAACAATTCCAAGCGACTCTGTGGGAGAAGTAGCAATACCTCTACCAGGATTAACTGTACCCGCTGGAATCACTAGACGCTTAATTTTACATTTAACAGTAACAACATCTATGGCGGGTTCTTTTCTTTGGACAAAGTCTATCTCCATAGGACCATCAATGAACTCATCATCCTCAGAATCGGCTGGTGTTTTAGAATTGCCGATATCTGTGCAATATGATTCATCGTGTAAAGTCTGTCACCTCTTAGATTAAGCATGTAAAAGTCTATTCTATATGCAATGCATTGAAATCCTAATATCTTGATCTCTGCCCCTTGTGAAACTGCCGAATCCATACAATCTTTCATAAAAATTCCAATTCTCACTAAATCAAGGCAATTTTTATATACGTTTCCTTGCTCAGATGGCCCAGTTACTTCACCAACATAAATCACGTTTGATGCCCGAGACTGATAGTTGACTGAAACAACAAAATCTGGTTGCTTCGCCTTAAATCCATCAAATTTTCGTACTTTGCTTTCTGTTAAGGCCGTGTTTGGCCATCAGACTACGTGTCTGTCAGGTATATGGAACGCATTTTTCATAATGTTATCCAAATAGTTTGTTATCAACGTTAATTCACTTGGTTCATTTCTTATCTTATCGTATGGAAGATTTCTTATCAAGTCTAAGATTAGAAAGCAGAAATTATTCATCAATTCATTTTTTTGTACAATCTTTACACATAATAATTTAATGGCATTATCACGCGAATCATTCAAACACGTTTTAACTACACTCCTGTACACATTTTCGATCTCTATATCTAGTTGTAAAGATAATTTTGGCGTGTATTCTCTGTAAATTGACTCTAGTACATCTAAACCAAACGACTCTACCATCTTAGTGGAGTAAGAGTTCGGTATGAGCACAAGGATTGACGATAATGATAATATTTCGTGAGAGTGTGACTCAATATACAGGCCTTTATTGTTAGCGTGTAATATGGATTCGCTAATATATGTTCTAAATTTTTCTAAGATATTAACACCATTTACAAACAAATCGGATTCTGAACTCTTGGATGATGACAATCTTGAAGGAACATTGGTAATAAGAACGTTTTCATCTACAGTATCTTCAGTGAAAGGATCTTCATGAGAATGTGGTGTCGAAGATGAATATCTACTACCTTGAACTTCATAACTTGAATCAGAATTAATATACGGATCATCACTTGATTCTGAATCATGTTCATACTCCTGGTAATTAAAAATAAAAAAATGGGCCCACTCAAAACATAAGAGTGTTGTTGGCTATACATTAAAAGCAACGGGAAAATGGAACTACCTTATTTTTCGGAGTAGCTGGTTGATGAATTTCGTCTTCATTCCCTTGTCCACGTTGACGTTTGTGTGAACGATCATTATTTGTGTCCGAATTCTCGAGATTTCTTGTAAACTTTTCTCGTATGATTCGGTCTTGTTGGGAAGTTAAATTCATAACGGCAGTAGCATGCTCCTCCTACAGTATAATAAACTAAATATATTAATATTTTTATCACATCATACTCTGGAAGATCAAATGCACCATACCATCAACATTGTACGTTCAGAAATAGCCGTTAACTTCCGTTTTTCTGTTGACGTAGCAGACTCCCAAAATTCAATAATTAACATTGATTTCTTTTCTTTCTATTAACGATATATTATTTAGTTAGTAATAATCAAATTAGCTGAATTATTGAACAGTCACTATAAGTTGAAATTTGTGACTCCAGTTGCAAGGACAGAACCACCACGAGCCGTAACTCACACACTTCTGACCGTAATCAGGAGTATTGGATGATTGAACACAGGCCGTAACCCCATCCAAAGGGCTTGTTACCCTTCAGACCCATCCACTTCCAATTGGATAAGAAAACCATTCACACAGGATGAAACCACCACGAGCCGTAACTCATACACTTCCCGACTGTAATCAGGAGTGTTGGATGATTGAACGCAGGTCGTAACCCCATCCAAAGGCTTTATTATCCTTCAGACTCGTCCACTGCTGATAGAATGTGCTCTCCAATCACATTTGGCGTGATGGGGTAAAAAAAAATTACTTAACTTGAAATGAAATAAACGCCCTACTCGCCCATTTCATTAGATTCACCTGTGCCCCCTCCCAGTTTATAATGTTTGTTAAATTGCGAGCATATCGATCGTATTTGGCTAATTTGCTAGGCTGAAAGTCACTACATTGTTGGCGGTAAAGTAAAAAACTTATCAAAGACCATTCGTGGTCAGTTTTAAAGTAGGCAGGATCGTTTAGTTGAATTCCTGGTGAGAAAGGAAAATTTATAAATACCAAAAAGACAGAAACAAGTTTGTGCCGAGAGAATAACTTACCATCTAATGTTTCGGCCAGCGGTGTGTCTGCAGTATAAGTAGAGGCTGAGACTTGTGTTGACATAGTTTATTGGTTTTTTGCCAATTAGAAATAGGAAAAAGAAAGTTAACAGAAAATGCAGACCTATCAGAATTACGCGATTACTGATTTTTACTAAGCCACTCATTCAAGATCACGTGCGATTCATACCTTTAATCACGTGCACGTTATAATTTGTAGGGCATCCTTAACCTACACTGGAGGTGTAGATGTTTAACCTGCGCTGGGGGTGTACAATAAGTTTTAACGAATTTTATTGAATGAAAATTGATTGTG